AACTTTTTAATTGCTTTTTCCATAAACTTTATGAAATGTCCTGTAAAGGCAATTTAATAAAGAACAGGATTTGTAACAAATAGTGGTGAAACAGTTGAATGTCCATATGTACACACACAAAAGACTCTCAGCCTAAACATCACACACTTTATCAAAAAATAATTTCAGAGGCTGGTGTGGGCTAAGCTTCCCCCTGCAGTGCCAGCAACCCATGTGGGTTCTGGTTCTAGTCTTGGCTGCTCCTCTTCCAATCCAGCTCTCTGCTGTGGCCTGGGAAAGCAGTAGAAGATGGCCCAAGTGCTTGGCTCCTGCACTCATGTGGGAGACCTGGAAGATGCTCCTGGCTTCTGGCTTTTGAACAGCCCAGCTCTTGTCATTGTGGCCAACTGGGAAGTGAGCCAGCAAATGGAAGACCTTTCTCTCTCACTCTCTCTGTCTGTAACTCGACCTTTCAGATAAATAAATAAAATCTTTAAAAAAAAGTTAACTTAAAATTATTCATAGACTGAAATGAAAAATAAAACTACTAAACTTCTGGAAGAAAACCTGTGTAAACTTCCTATTTTCTTTATAGATTCTATGTAATCTTTTGTTTGGTGATGAGTATTTTTTTTTTTTTGACAGGCAGAGTGGACAGTGAGAGAGAGAGACAGAGAGAAAGGTCTTCCTTTGAGGTTGGTTCACCCTCCATTGGCCACCGTGGCCAGCGCGCTGCAGCCGGCACACCACGCTGATCCGATGGCAGGAGCCAGGTACTTATCCTGGTCTCCCATGGGGTGCAGGGCCCAAGCACTTGGGCCATCCTCCACTGCCTTCCCGGGCCACAGCAGAGAGCTGGCCTGGAAGAGGGGCAACCGGGACAGAATCCGGTGCCCTGACCGGGACTAGAACCCGGTGTGCCGGCACCGCAAGGCAGAGGATTAGCCTAGTGAGCCGCAGTGCTGGCCTGGTGATGAGTATTGATGGCATCAAACAACAGTCTATAAGGGAAAATTGGTAAGTCAGACTTTATAAAAATTAAAAACCTCTGCTCTACAAAAGACACTGTAAAAGAATGTGAAGAACTGCCACTGACTGGGAAAGACACATATGTGTGTAGCATATCTGATATAGGACTTATACCTGGAATATATAGCAAGAACTCGCAAACAGCCCAATAGAAAAGTGGTCAGAAGATCTTAACAGATCTCATCAAAGAAGACATGCAGATGGAAAAGAAGCACATGAAAGATATTCAACATCATTAGTAGGGAACTGTAATTACATTAAATCACAAAGAAATACTTCTACATAGGTATTTGAATGGCTAAAATGAACAAGTGGATGAATGCTAAACACTGGTGAGAATGCAGGGCGGTGGGGACTCTCACTGCTAGTGGGAATGAAATATGCTTTGGCCATTTTGGAAAATAGTGGATCAGTTTCTAACGAAGCAAAACACACACTAACAATATGCTCAGTGATATGAGTCCTACTTATTAAGTTGCATTGGTATCATTTTCCCACTGATATGATGCAATGAGAGGACCCTTCACCTCTGCAGTGCTCTTCTCCAAATCCATAACCTTAATCTATGCAGGAGAAAATTCCAAATCCAGGAATATTCTACAAAATACTGGCTGTTACTCTTTTTTTTTAATGAATAGATTTTTTGTTTTTATGGAAGCTTTAGATTCACAAGAAAACTGAATGGGAGGGGCTGAGAGTTCCCATGTATTCCTGCCTCCACAGTCGTTGCCATCCCCATGACAGACATCCCACACCACAGTGGTACATTTGTTGCAGCCAAACCTGTGCTGACGACACATCCTTATCATCCAGCATTCATAGTTACATTAAGGTCTGCTCTTGGCCTTGCACATTCTTTAGGTTTTGGCAAATATATAATGGCACACATCCGCCACAGCAGCAGCATACAGAATAGTTCTACTGCCCCTGTTCCTCCTAACTCCTGACAGCCACTGGTATGTTTACTCTTTCCATAGTTTTGTCTTTCAAAATGTCTTTTGTTGGAATTAGACAGCATAGTAGTGTTTTCAGAATGCCTTCTTTCACTTATTATGAGTTTAAGTTTTCTATTCAAAAGTGACAAGGTCATGAAAGACGGGGGGAAAAAAAAACAAAAATTGTCAGGCATCTAAGAAGACATAACAATTAAATGCAGTGTGATATCCTGTATGGATCCTGAAATAGAAAAAAGGCACGGGAGAAAAGCAGGATAAATTTGAATGAAGTCTGTAGTTTAATCAGTAGTATTTTACCAAAGTTTCTTTTGATAAATGCACCATAGTCATGCAAGGTGTTGGCGCCAGTGGAAGTCAGGTGAGGAATATATGGGAAAGGGCTGTACTATCTCTGAAACCGTCAGTATAAAACCTTGTCATAATAAAATGTTCACGATGACTTTGGGGAGGGGTGGTGTTTAGCCTGGGGTTAAGATGCCCCCATCCCTTATCAGAGTACCTGGATTCAAATTCCAGCTCCAGCTTCCTGCCAATGCCCACCCTAAGAGGCAGCAGTTGTGGATCAAGTACATGGGTTCCTGCCACTCACATGGGAGACCAAATTGCATTCCTAACCCCCAGCTTCAGCCCCAGTCCAGCCTTGGTCACGTGGGCATATAGGGAGTGAACCAGAGGATGGAAGCGCATGCTCTCTTTCTCTCTGTCTCTTTCCCTCTCAAATAAAAATCTTTAAATGTTTTTGTCTATAGAAATATATATAATTTATTCTATATTAAGGAAGTAAAAGTATATATTAATCTCTTCAATGCAATTTATCATTTTGTGATCCTTGCACTGTCAAAGCACTGTTTTGTATTTGAAAAGGTTTATCTATTCATCTGAAGGGCAGAGTTACAGAGACAGAGAGAGAGAGAGACTAAGAAAAATATCTTCCATCTGCTGGTTCACTCTGTAAGTGTCTTCAATGACCAAGACTAGGCCAGGCCCAAACCAGGAGCCAGAAGTCTCCTCTGGGTCTCCTACATGGGTACAGGGACCCAACCACTTGGGCCATCCTCTGCTTCTTTTTTAAGGCCAATAACAGAGCTGGATCAGAAGTGGAGCAGTTGGAACTCAAACTGACACCCATATTGTTAGGCCATCACAAAACACACCAAACAACAGAGTAAGGGAAAGGGTTTATTGGGGGAAAACCCAACAGGCTGGAGGGAAGGGACAAAGGAAAAGAGAGAGGAGAATATAAGAGAGAGAGAGACAGAGAGGAGAGGAGCTAGTGAGGAGAGAAGAGCCAAGAGAGCCACGTGATCAGGAACAGGCCCTTTTAAAACTTTGCCGGAGGGCGGGCAGGGAAGCAGGAGCAGCGAATCCCATTAGGATGGGGGTGGAGCTTGACACCGGTGATTGGACCATGTGGCCACCTGGCTTCCAGCAATGGCAGCAGGGCTAGAGCCTAGGATGGTGTCAGGGTGTAGATCGCGTCATAGATAAGACTGCACCATTTCCCAACACATATGGGATGCTGTCATCGAAGGTGGCAGCTTAACCTGCTACACCACAACACTGTCCCTATTTTTTTTCTTAAAGATTTTATTATTTTTTTCTTTATTTGGGAAACAGAGTGGCAGAGAGACTGAACCATCTAGCTGCTGGTTTACTCTCCAAATGCTTACAACGACCAGGATTGGGCAGGCCAAAACCAGGAGCCAGGAACTCTATCTGTGTCTCCCACCTGGGTGGCAGGAACCCAAGTACTTGGGCCATCGTCTGTTGCCTCCCAGGCACATCAGCTGGAAGCTAGATCAGAGACGGAGGTCAGACTTGATTCCAGGCACTCTGTTGTATGGGACGTAGGTATCCCAAGAGGTGACTTAACCTTCCACAACACTCACCCCAAATTGTGTTCATTTTTTTTTTTTTTTGACAGGCAGAGTGGACAGTGAGAGAGAGAGACAGAGAGAAAGGTCTTCCTTTGAGGTTGGTTCACCCTCCAATGGCCGCCGTGGCCGGTGCGCTGTGGCCGGCGCACCGCGCTGATCCGATGGCAGGAGCCAGGTACTTATCCTGCCCTGGGGTGCAGGGCCCAAGTACTTGGGCCATCCTCCACTGTACTCCCTGGCCACAGCAGAGAGCTGGCCTGGAAGAGGGGCAACCGGGACAGAATCCGGCGCCCCGACCGGGACTAGAACCCGGTGTGCTGGCGCCACAAGGCAGAGGATTAGCCTAGTGAGCCGCAGCGCTGGCCTAAATTGTGTTCATTTTAACGTCAAAAGTCAGGCTGTACATTTAAGTTGGTGTTGCTTCCATTTCTGTCCTCTCCACCCCGTTCCCTCCCTCTCCTTACAGGGTAATCATTATTATTAGTTTTGGGCTTTTTTTCTAGATTTTTTTCCCAAAACCTCCCTTCTAACAAAAATGTCCTGCAGCTTGCTTTTGTCATTTTATGGTATATCCTACAAATGATGTCATATAAGCATATAGAGAGTTTAACTCATTTCCTTTTTCATAGCTGTATCACACATGTTAACAATCCCCTATTGGTAAATGAGGAGCCTAACGCATGATTCTTGTGTATCATTGGGACAGATTTCTAGAAGTGAGATTGCTGGGTCAAAGGGTAAATGCATACAAATTTTTGGCAAGTATTGTTGTAGTCATGGACTGATTTGCATCCTTGCTGGCAAGTTATGAGAATTTGGTTTTTCCATGTGTGTGTCATCAAATTATTGAATTTTTGCTAATCCGATTAGGTGAAAATGCCATCTCAGCATAGTTTTGTTAATATTCCTTTTATATAGTACACTGAATAACTTTTCATTGTTGAAAAGTGATTGAATTTTTTGATAAACTGCTCCTTTTTACACTGAAATATCAGAATTTTTCTTTTAAGTTTTTAAGTGCTTCTACATTATGAATGGTTGCGCTTTCCCTGTGATATGTTATTATTATTCTTTCTGACTTTGCCTAAAAGAGTTTCTTTGTCATGTGGATTTTTATCCCATTAACTGTATCTCAGATTAATAAGTAGTGAAATTTTTATTCAATAACTTGAAATTCCTACAAAGTAAAGATTACTATTGCTCCATTGTACCAGTGGGAGCACTCTGGACTGAAGTATGAGAACCGCTGTTCAAGCTGTCTGCCCAACTCAGTTTTCTTCTACCATTCCACAGTCATTAGTTTATTCATTCAACAGTATTAATAAATTAAGTTCCTGCTTTGTGTTATTTTTTGTTTTTTTGGTGTCCTGGGAGCACAGCTGGCTGTATTTGAAAGTCACAGCCTAAGTCTTAGGACATACAACTTTGGTGATGGCTGCCTTGACATCCTTGTTCCTCAGTGTGTAGATGAGGGGGTTGAGGATTGGTGTGAGGATGGCATACGCTACATTGCCCATGATGTGGAAGTCGAGGGGCAGGTCAGCCCTGTAGGCCACGTAGGCTACGGCGATGGATGAGTAGTAGGTGCCCACCACCAGGAGGTGGGAACTGCAGGTGGAAAAGGCTTTTGAGCGGCCTTCTCGAGACTTGATGCGAAGCACCGAGGCCAAGATGTGGGCGTAGGAGAGAAGCACCAGCAGGAGGGGCAGGGAGGACACCACCATGGCGATGCAGAAGCCCATGAGGGTCTGGGAGGTGGTGTCGGAGCAGGAGGACTGGACCAGAGACAGGTGGTCACAGAAGCAGTGGTGGATGTAGGCAATGCTGTTGTATGCCATCTGGGAGGTCTTTACTACTGCTGGGACGGGTAGGAGGAAGGCAGTGAGCCAGGCGCTGGCTGCCAGTGTGGCATTGGTCTGTGGGGTCATGTGGACAGGGTAGTGCAGTGGGCGGCAGATAGCCACATAGCGGTCATAGGCCATGACCACCAGGATGAAGGCTTCTGAGCATGTGAAGCTTTGAAAGAGGTACATCTGCAGCAGGCAGGAAGGAAAGCTGAGGAAGTGGTCCCCAAACAGGAATAGAGACAGCATCTTGGGGACGGTGGTTGTGGTGAAAAGGATGTCCAGGGCTGAGAGGTTGATGAGGAAGAAGTACATGGGCTTGTGGAGGCTAGGCTCTGCCACCACAGCCCCCAGGATCAGGGCATTACCCAGCAGGATGAGCAGGTAGAGGAGGAGGAAGACAAAGAAGATAGGAAGGAAGAGGTGCTCCGGCAGAGAGGGGATGCCTGCCAGGTAGAAGACAGGTGAGTCATCTCCTGATCCATTACAAGTTGTGGCCTCCATAGTGAGCCAGAGCTGGATTTCCAGGAGGTAGGCAGCTGGAACATCTGGACACTGAGAACATTTGCAAACAATAGAAACAAAGGATTCTGAAAAGATAATTCTGTAAGTTTTACTCTATGATATGAACACAATTATTTACAACCAACTCTGAGGACTGGTGGTAGGCAGTGGTATAGACTTCTACCATGTGAACCCAAAATTTGCCTACCAAATGAAAGTCTTTATGCTGTGTTCATGCACTGAAGTGATTTTCTAGGAAAAATCATATATATCCAATTGAGTGTTTGATTATGGCTGTGAAATGCTTTGGAAGGACTTCTGGTCCTCACCTTAGGTTACGTGCAGTGTGGTTTGGGTGGTCAGCTTTCTTAAATCAAGTCCTTAAACTTGTGTCTCTACTTTTGCACTCACTCAGTGTTCCACCGTGTTGTGTTGGAAGGGCTGTCTTCTCCAAGGTTCTCTGCTACACACCGCTGCTCACATACTTATGAAGCTTCTTTCTCTCTTGTTTGCCTGAAATAGTGTCTCTTCCTGACTCCATTTAAGCCATGGATCTGAACTTCTGCGCCTGCATGGGATGTAATAGATCAGAATAGCACAAGACCTCCACTGCAACAGTTCAGAAAATACAGATACATTTTGGAAATCACGCTTTCTAACAAGTTGTAGAAACAGGGATATAAAAGGATGAGATGAAGTGAAACTCTTGGGGGTGGGGACCTCTAAAATGATTTAATAATCAGCAACTCTTTTCTTCTCCAGGAATATTTGGTTTGGGGATCATCATGTGGTTTGGACTTGGACTAGGCAGAAAGATTTGTATGAGAGAAAGCACAAAGCTTTTGTCAGTTAAAAAGAGATGGCAAGACAGATTGGAAATCTCGGCAAGTTTTCCTCACAGGGTATCTTCTGAATTCTGGGACTGTGCAGAGGAATCTGGAAAGCTAGGCTGAGGGCTTCTAGAAGACAGAAGGAAATCTCCCAGGTTCCAATAATCCTTAAAGGACTAGGAGAGGGTTTTCCACCAACATCGCTGGCCTTCTTCTCTTACCAGCTGCCTGACATCTGAAGCTATGCGTGTAAGCGAGAGTGGAGTAGAGGAAGGGAGGGTGGCTAGAGACCGAAGCCCACTACTTCCCGAGCGTAGAAGTATCGCCCACCACCTTTCAGGGCTGAGAAGACAGAGGTCAACCAGGGGATCAGACTGAAACTCAAGCGGGTCAAACCTTAAAAACAGGAGTAAACCAAAGTTAGGATAAATCCTTGACTTAATTCAAGCCTTATCCAAGTTGAGTTGATCAGCCACCTCTTCTGCCTGCCTAACAGAGAAAAGGGAGAAATCTCTCTGGTGAGGGAGATCATTTGGTCCTCTATGAACATTATAAATAACGTTCAGCCCACAATTAATATGATCAGTTATGCAAAGGGAGGAAAATGTGATCAGCAATCCAGATGGAAAATGTACAATAAACAGTGACACACAGAGGGCCAGCATTGTGGCAGGGCAGGGTAAGTAGCTGCTTAGAATGCTGGCATCCCATATTGGAGTGCTGGTTAGAGTCTGGGCTGCTCTGCCTCAGATCCAGACTCCTGCTAACGTGCCAGGGAAAACAACAGATGAGGCTCAAATGCTTAGGCCCCTCTCACCCATGAAGGAGACCTGTATGAAATTCCTGACTCCTGGCTTCAGCCTGGCTCAGCACTGGCTGTATGGCCATTTGGGGAGTAAACCAGCAGATGAGTGAGTGATAATCATTCTCTCTCTCTTTCTCTCTCTCTCTCTCTCTCTCTCTCTCTCCTTATCTCTCTTTGATGCTTTACCCTTCTAATAAAAATAACAAATAACTTTTTAAAAAATCACTATACAGATTATTCAGATACCTCAGTTAGCAAATAAGGATTTGGGTATAACTATGCTATGTGTTAAAGACAATAGAGGAAATGCTGAAAAAATGTGTTATAAATAGAGATTTCAGCAGAAAAATTTGAATCTATTCAAAAGAGAATCAAACATTCTAGAACTGAAATATCCAATATTTGGAATTAAGAGCTCATTAGATAGGTAAGATAGCAAATTGGACACAACAAAAGACAGGATTAGAGACCTGAAAAACAGATCAATAGAACATACTTAGATTTAGTTCCAGAAAGATTTAATAGAATTTATACTGTATACTTTAATTGATATCATTAACTTTAATTGATATTATTAACTGGCAGGTAAAACTAATCTATGAATTATAAATCAATATAGTGATTGTCTATGGGGTTGAGGATTGACAAGAAGTGAACAAAGGTATGCTCTCTAAAGAGATAGAAATATTGAGTTTACAGAATCAGCCCTTAAGGCATTCGGATCTGGCTGAAGAGCCCATGAGAGTATTTCAGGCATGGAAAGCCAAGATGCTGTGGCAAAAAACAAACAAACAAACAAACAAAACAAACCCTAAATGAAAGATCTCTGCGAATGAGATCCCAGTGGAAAGAACAGGTATCAAAGAAGGAGGTACCTTTCTCTGAAAGGAGGAGAGAACTTCCACTTTGACTATGACCTTGTCTAAATATGGTCAGAGTCGGTGAACTCAAAAGGCCTCCATAGCCTTGGCAACTCATGACAAGAGCCTGGAGTGATTACTGACACCATAAACAAGAGTGTCAAATTGTTAAGTCAACAACAGGAGTCACTGTGTACTTACTCCTCGTGTAGGATCTCTGTCCTAAATGTGCTGTACATTGTGATTTAATGCTATAACTAGTACTCAAACAGTATTTTACACTTTGTATTTCTATGTGGGTGCAAACTGTTGAAAGCTTTACTTAATATATGCTAAACTGATCTTCTGTATATAAAGAGAATTGAAAATGAATCTTGGGCCGGCGCTGCGGCTCACTAGGCTAATCCTCTGCCTTGCGGCACCGGCACACCGGGTTCTAGTCCTGGCTGGGGCACCGGATTCTGTCCCGGTTGCCCCTCTTCCAGGCCAGCTCTCTGCTGTGGCCCAGGAGTGCAGTGGAGGATGGCCCAAGTACTTGGGCCCTGCACCCCATGGGAGACCAGGATAAGTATCTGGCTCCTGCCATCAGATCAGCGCGGTGCGCCGGCCGCAGTGGCCATTGGAGGGTGAACCAACGGCAAAAGGAAGACCTTTCTCTCTGTCTCTCTCTCTCTCACTGTCCACTCTGCCTGTCAAAAAAAAAAGAAAAAAAAAAAAAGAATCTTGATGTGAGTGGAAGGGGAGAGGGAGCGGGAGATGGGAGGGGTGCAAGTGGGAGGGAAGTTATGGGGGGGGGAGCCATTGTAATCCATAAGCTGTACTTTGGAAATATATATTCATTAAATAAAAGTTAAAGAAAAGAAAAAAAGAAATATTGAGGTTAGTGGTGGTTATATGAATATTTATGTTTACAAAGGCTCATTTAATTATACACTGAAGAACTGGGTGTCATCTATGCAAATGCTTTCAATTAAAAAAAAAACAAAAATGCAACACAAAATGAGTGAGAAAGTAGGACACAGATTTGGAGAAGGTCTTTTCCTAGTTTCAATACATATATCAACAGGAGTCTATATGCTATATCATCCTCAACCAATAAGAAAAAATAGACAACCTAATGGAAAAATGGTGAAAAAAATGACGAGGCAGAAACATCACCAAAAGAACATCTGAATGACCAGTAAGCATATGAAAAAACACTCAACATCATTAACTGTCATAAAAATGTAAATTAAAACACAATATGATACCACTACATACTCACCAGAATGGATAAGATTAAAAGAACTGCCAGGTGTTGGTGAGACGTGGAGGAGCTGGTGGTCTTGTCTATTGCTGGTAACTGGTACAACCACTTTGGATAACAGTTTGGCAAAATCTTCTAAAACCTATGATTTATTTTGGAATACATGACCAAGAGAAATGAGTGCTGTATCCACCAAAAAATAAATGTATAAAAATGCTCATAGCCCTGGGAATATATACAAGAAAATTGAAAACATGCCATAGTATTAATATCCATAATAGTCAAAAAGTGAAACATCTCAAGTTCCTATTAATTGATGAACATATAAATAAAATGTAGTCTATCCATACAATGAGATATTATTCAGCTACTTCAACTGGGATGAACTTTGAAAACATGTTAAGTGAAAGAAACATATGTAATGTTCAGAACAGGCAAATATATAGAGGCAGAAAGATTAGTGATTGGCAGGACATGGGGGGGGGAGAAAGAATGGAGAATGACTGATTAATGGACATGGGTTTCTTTTGGGGTGATGAAAATGTATTGGAACTTGATAATGGTAGTGATTACACAACATTATGAAGGTACTAAAAGCCATTGAATTGTACACTTTAAGATGGTGACTTCTATGTTATATGAATTTTACTTTTAAAAATCTTTATATAACATTTAAGCTTTTACTTATAGTTCCCTAGTAGAAACAGCTCAAATATCCATTAACGGTAGAATGGACAGATTGTGGTATATTCATTCAATGGAGAACTATACAGCAATGAAAATGATGAACTACTGTTACATGCAACAAGATACGTGAAACTGGGGTGGACATTGTGGTGCAGTGAGTTAAGCCACCACTTGGGATGCCTGCATCCCATATCAGAGTGTCTAGCTTGAGTCCCAGCTACCCTGTCCTGCTAATGCACAGCCTGGGAGGCAGCAGGTTCTGGCTCAAGTACTTGGGTCTCTGCCACTCTGGATGGAGTTCCTGGATCCTAGCTCTAGCTCTTGTAGGCATTTGGGGAATGAACCAGTAGATGGAAGAGAGATGATTCTCTCTCTCTCTCTCTCTCTCTCTCTCTCTCTCTCTTTCTTCTAAATAAACAAATTTTAAAAATATATATATGAAGTTTAGATATATATTGTCATAATATCAAGTGAGGAAAACCATACCTGGAAAACAATGTACACTATTATTCCATTTAGGTGACGATCAAAGTCAGAAAAAACTGAATCCATGGTGATAGAGGTCACAGCAG